AGAGAGCACATTGGCCAAGCAATGGCCATGACTCATCCACATGGCTGACACTGACACAAGATCTACAAAGTATAGTACAGAGTTTCAGGATAAATCCTGAGGATACTTGACTGACCTTGTCAGATACAAAAGTTATATTACTTGTTATATAGGTCTTGCTTTATCTTGGTCTTAACCATCCAGCAGAAAAGTATAAAATTGAAGTATTAAAAAGTAAAGCCATATTAATATGCTGAGCTGTAAAAGGCTCAAGTCAACAACTTCGGACATTGCCAGTCCTACAGATAACCCACTACTATTATGGGATACTGGACTATATTGGAATATTTTGCTGAATTCACATACCTACAATATTTAAATGACAATGGAAAACCCATCTCTTTCTAAACTAAACAAAAAAGCAGATGTAAATGAAGGACTATTTTGTATCTGTCTATTCAAAATAGTTAGAATAGATATACAGCTACTTTCTCTTAATTCAATGAATAGAAAGATTTCTACTAATAGTGTTTGTGGACAGGACATCACATCTGCATCTTGTACTATGAATAACCACTGAGAAGACAACAATATGCAATGTATTAATTATTGAAACTGTCCTACTAATCAGTTTTAAAACTGTCTCATTGATATTTGTTTCTCAATAAAATTATTTTAAAAATTAAAAAAAAAAAGTAAACCAAGTACTAACCCACAGGTGAAGGGTAAGAACAATCTGTTCACCCCATATTATGCACTGTTACGGACTCTGAAGAGAAAGCACGTTCTAACTCACTCTTCAGCACAGATAACCTTGAGCACCTCATGGTAGGTTCAGTAAGGTCATTTCAACAGATTAAAGAGGTCACTGATGCAGGCATATGAGGCTGTAGGACAGTGGTATTTGTAGATGCAGAAAGCAGAGTGGTGGTTGGTGGCCAGTGGTGGGGCACAGAGGGAGGGGTGGTGATTGGAAGGGTGCTGACTTTGCTGTGCAGCAGAAAACAACTCAGGATGAGTGTTGAGGTGTTGCACAGCAGTAAAAGTATACCTGATGCAATCTAAGTATGCACTTTAAAATGACTAAAGTTTGAAAAAATTTTATATAATGTCAGTTACAGGACTGAAAAATGGCCCCATCCTCTACCACAGAAGATGAACCCTCATATAAGCTGTGGGCTCGGTGATGATGAAACAAGGTTACAGCCAGACAAAGGGGGTAAATGTGCCCTCTGCATCAGGTGTTGACTGTGGGCAGCCTTGCAGGAGTGGGGAGGGGACAGATGGGAAATGTGTGAAACTCTGCTCGCCTCTGATCTTAATCTAAAATAGGTGCACAAAGTACCACCTATGAGAAAATCCAAGCATGTGCTATTTCATGAGGGAGGACCTCTCTTCCAAGACAGTGAGATCTGTCTTGGCCACCACTCGCTTCTGACTCACATGTTGCAGCAGGTTATTTCATTTTCTTCACAGAAACAGTCCTGACAGTCTGAGGTCCTCCAACTTGACTTTAAGGGGTGATGTTTTCCATCGTCATCCTTGCATCCTGAAACAAAGCATAGGTCATAGAAGTAGAGTTCTTCATACGATGCCTTAGTAACAAGCATGGAAAAATACTAAAGTCAGCCCCTGACCTTTTGATAGACATTTTATGAGGCATCTAAATACTTCTTTAGTCACCCTCAGCTGAATTCCAGTACCATATAGTACATGACCCTGATAACATTTACAAAACCAAGCTCAAATAATCCTAGGTTTTATTTTGGAACAGAAAAGTGGGGAGTTACTGAGGCCTTCCTGTTTAATCATTGGGGCCTCATGGTACAGGGGCCCATTTTTCTCCTTGGGTGTTTCTATATATTAAACACTTTACTCCTATGCTTGCTTTGATTTTCATCAGAGTTCTCAATTCTGGGTGCATCTGTGAATATCTTGTGGCCTAAAGAAATGTTTACTGGACAGGTGCACCTGAGTAGAAAATCTCATGCTCATTACACAGATGGCCCTGGGCTCAACCCACAGCACTGAAACAAGCAAACATACAAAAACAATGCAAAACAAAGAAACAAAATGTATGGTGAGCTTCAACCCAGGACACTGGAATCAAGATTTCTGGGATAGGCTCATACAACCATGTTTTTAGAACTCTTCCCAAGTAATTCAGTTTTTGCCAAGTGTGAGAACCACTGTTATGACCCTAGGACCCACACATGCTGTAAGGTAGCCATATCGGCATCACTTTGACTGCTTTGCCCATTCAACTCTAAATCACATTCAGATTCCCTGAGTTAGCACCTGCAGTTTAACATGACTTCCCTGGGACTTGGCATGCACATCAAATATGAATACTTTAAGGAACTAAGCAATGTTTCTCAACCCTAAACAGATGTGGGAGTCAATCAAGGAGCTGTTGAATATACAGAGCTCTGACCCAAGAGATTCTGATTTATTGGAACTCAGATAAAACCGAAAGTCCCTCATTTGATTCTTTCTGTATCTGCCCTCACTCTTCTTCCCCTGTTAATTCAAGTATCTTCACCTGAAACAAATTTCTTTCCACCAGGCTATATTTCATAAGAAATGTGAAGACCTGAACTTACCTGGAGGTGAGTCATCTGTAGGCATATCGAGAGTTTGGACATAGCATCCAGCATTGCATGCAGCCACAAAGGTGGCCAGAACCAGAAATCTTCCAAGGTGCATTTTCTGTAATGTGTGGAAGGTCAAGGTGGAGAGTGAGTGAGTGCCTTCAGTCATTCTAGACTGAGGTTCACATGCAAGACTTCCTGTTGTGCTGGGGCAAGCAGTTCTGAAGTGAGAACTCTTCCCACAGATGACCCAGTCAGGCAACCAGAACAATACAGTCACTATGAAAACAATGGACAAAACTCAATGTGCATTAAGAATCCCAGGGCCACAATGGCTGGGTGACTTATTACACAGGGAAATTGAAAAACCTTCAGGTATTAGGTGAGTTTCGGGCTATTTTGCAGAATATATATAACTTAAAGGACAGGAATGAAAGAGGGAAAGACAGGTTCTGAAAGCAATGAAACACAGACATATAGACAGAGGTCACAATAATTCATTTGGAGGCTGCCTGGAACTGAATTATCTGGAGATGTGACTAGGAAGACAGCTTAGTGTTAGCTTAAAACACAAACCACAAAGCTCAAGATTTCATTTTTCAAATCGGGAAGGCCTTTGTAACCTTTCAATTTTGAACTTTTTGTGGTTCTGAGTATGTGAGGTAAGCAATCCACCACTGAGATGCATGCCCTACCTTGATAAAAGCCTCCCTGATGGCTACCAGGACACACAATTAATCTAAAGTGAAACTGGAAGACAAAGCAACTAGCACATTGCCTGGGTTATCTTGTCGATGTGAGTGAAATTCCCAATCAAATCTTAGAGTGCTGTTTTCAGAAATCTTTTAGGAAAGCAGATGGGGTGAGGATAGCTTAGCTTAAGGTTAATACTGAAGCGCAGGTACCTGCAGTAGGAGGTCACTCAAGTAAGAACACAAAGACAGACACAGAGGAGGATATAATAAGCCCACACATGTTTAGCAATGACAGTGGATGTGTGCTCTATATAATAAAATATAGTCCTTTTAGAACTCAGGACATTATGAAAAATGACCGTTCAACAAGTGGCACTAGAAAAAAAAAAAAAAAACAGTGAATGACTTGGGAAGTAATAAATCAAATTTGTCTTTCAGTCTCCATGAAGAAATAAATCTCACAAGGTTTCCCTCAGTTCTGGGAATCCCCTCATGCCAGAGCCACTCAGCCACTGGACTCCTAGAACTGTCACCTTATTTCCATTCTCCTGCTACCCTCTATGGCCTGGAGACCTCTCAGGTGTTGGATCCATCATGTCCCACATGGGCACTAAAGCAACCAGAGACACTGGGAACTGAAAGCCCAGGTGGCTGGAGTCCTTCTCCCCTGACCTCACTTGTTCTTACCTCCGGAGCCCAACCCAGTGCCATTTCAAGGACATTAACACTGCATCCAGGATCCTTGGAGCTGAGTAGTTCCAGGTGAAGAGGGCTTAGGTGCAAGGGGAGCTGTATCTTGAGTCCCTGCTGATCCTATAGCCCTTGCAAAGGCAACTGCACCTCTGCTAAGCCATCCTAGGCTTCTGCTCAGGGCTGTGTGTACTCAGGCAGCTGGGGGTCTTTCCAGTCCTCAGTGCTACGTGGAGAGTTTTGAACAGAGGTTACTCAGGGTGTTACATGGGGAAAACTCATGTGTATTAATGTAAGAATGCAGAAATTTTGGAAGATGTTGCTCATATTATATGAGATAATCATAGAATAGGTAAAGTGGTTATTCAGAAAATAATAAATAAGTTTAACTTTGTAAAGGTTGTTACATTGTAAATGAAAAAAATTTAAAGATATCAGATTTAGAGAAAAATATGAAGCTTTTCTCTACACCTGCGGAAAAAGATGTATCTTTACAAGGAAAAAAAGCAAGGGAGTTAAGGGGGCAGTTCACACAAAAAGACAGAAATAAAAATGACAATCAGGAAAGTTCACCTAAATTTTAACAAAAGAGCCCATATGTAGATACTATGAAATCCAATATGGTGGCCAGGAACATCATGTCATTTACCACACTACAGGAAACCAGAAGAGTAAAGGGAAGTGATGCACACAGATCACTTATGTGGGGCAATATTCCTGGAGTTTCCTGCACAAGAACATTGTTACACAGTTTATGACATTTGAACCCACATCTGAACATCTGTAACTGGATCCCAAGGAGAAAGGCAGAGACAGAAAGATAGACTACCCATCTGGAGATGCTCAACGTGGTGGGAAAATGGGAAACTCTAATGTACCAGGACACAGCTGCCTGAGAACATCAGGACCCAGGATGCAACCTGGAAGGATAACAGGTGAGGAAGGAGAAACCACCTGACCCAAAATCTCCATATTTCATTCAGTGACACAGCCAGCTACAAATCACCCCTGATGATGCAATTGCTGTGTAAAGTCACAGCTGTTCACTGCAAGGATTGGGGCAAGTTTGAGGAAGGCGTTTTGGACGAGATGCAATTAGAACACCTTGGACTCCAGATCTCTTATTTTCTACAATGAAATGCATTATACTCATAAGCATAAAGGCATATATGAATCATTTAACATTAAAACAAAACCATGTGACATTTAACAAGAGCAGGACTTGGAATTGCCATTTCCTCATTGTGTCACTTCCTTTTGTATAATTCTCAGTTCAAAGCACAGCAGAGCTCTCTAATCTTCTTTCAAAATGCACCAGTTTTCCTGTCAGAATTTCTGCTCCCAACACAAAGAAAGGGCAAAATTTAGGCCTTTGGGAGTCTGTATTCTGAGGCAGAGATGCAAGTTTGAGGGATTTGGAGATGAAACCCAAACTTGCTAGCAGGAAAGATAAAATTATATTTTGAGATTATCCAGTTGACAATAACTCAGCAATATCCTTCCCTGGCTCCCTTCCTTCAATTCTTTCTTCTATCTCTGCCTCTCTTTCCTTTCTCTTCTCTCTGTGAAGCTCAGTTTCTTGCCTGAAAAAGAAATCCTCTGTGGGTGGGCATCAAATTTCCCAGAGAGGGCCACAGAGATAACTCAGTGGTCTCAGTACCTAGAGGACCTGGGTTCCATCCCCCGTACCACATGCTATTCTGGCCATGCCCCAGAAGCTCCAGCGGGGCACCAAGACTGGGCGTGTTCATACACACCTATAGTCCCAGAGCTGGGGAGGCTAAAACAGGAGAATCACTATGAGTCAGCTGCACAGTGAGACCCTGTGCTAAATACATAAAATTTAAAAAACAAAAAATTCCAGGGAGCTATGCTTAGTACACAATCTTAGGTGTCCTGGAGGCACACATGGCAGACATGCCTGTATCTTGACCTCATCCACAGGAAAACTGATCAAAGAAAGGCTGTTTTAGCATATAGGTGCATTCTCTGGGATCTTGGTGCATAGGATGCTAGGAGGTTCTACCTCGGTAGTCTTGAAGCTCAGACCCCAGGTGCCTGACCATGCTACTATTGATGCTGCATATCTGAGTAAAGAGGTTCCAGTGTCCCTTCCCTCTGCTGAATTCTTTCCTGTCACCCATTTCCCTGCCTTCTTATCTTCTTCCTTTATTGTGGACCTTGAGCTGTGATATATGATGCTTGAGAAAATGAAGGCAGGAGGGGCACTTGTTAGCACTTTCTAAATAGTATGGCCTTGTGCCCAGTCTTTTGGTAAGGCTGTCTCGCAGTGTACCCTTAGGAATTCTGCTTCATTAAATATAGTCCTGCTCCTAGAGGTGTCTTATTCTCCAACATTCCTTCTTCTGGACCCCCTCTGACTATCACAGTTATCCTATCCAGTGGCTGTTTCCATCCCCTTGCCATTTGCAAACCTCAGAGCAGCACAGGAAATCCCTTGATTGGCTGGAGACAAAATATATTAAGAAAGATTGAATTGATTGAATTTGAATTAAGTACCAAGAAGAGGTCTGCATGGGTTTCTATAGATTCCGAAACTAGTTTATTCCTTAGAAATTATACACCAAAAAATGCCCAAGGAATTGGTTCCAAAACTGCTGACAAAATTACCAGCCTCACTCTTACACCGGTTGCTCTGACCCCAATGCAGATCAGTTACATTTGAGTGCTCCTAGAGGAGTCTGTGTCCACGTCTTTCAAAGGCACCAGCGGACTTCACTTGACAAGTTCAGCTGGAATTCCCTAGCCCCGTGCCTAGGACCTTGTCTCAGCCTCCCCAGATCTGTAAAGAGAATGACAAGCCCTTCTATTCACCAACCTCAGTTTTATTGCCTGTAAAATTATTCATTAATTTCATCTCTGAAATCCTATTTAATTTTTTCACAAGTCACTCATGACTGGCTCATGATTCAGAGGAAATATGAAACCATCTGTGTCTCAGATGATAAGAAGAATGCTAATTTTATTATGACTTTTTCAACTCACTTTCATTCTGTTCTACACATTGAGTTGCAAGCAATATGCAAAAGATTTAAAATAATATTGCATTTACCAATAGATGCTATGCAGAAAAATGAATATCACAGCATATAGAAAAAGGAATGCATATTCTTTTTATATTTTCAGGCCTTTGTGAATAAAACCAGTTACATATGACTGTGAAGCAAATGCTGTATCTTTGAGCTACAGCTCAGTCAGGTACCTACCATTGTGAAGAGCAGGATTCTGTCAGGGCAGATGCACTCAGAAGCAGAGATGCTCAGCATTTATACAGTAGAAGGTCGCCACATTTTGGAATGTACCTGGTCAATAAAACACTAAATGTTTACAATGGCTGCTTATTATCTGGACACTGTGTTTGCAGACAATTTATGAGTTTTTCATATATCAGATCTACAGGCAATTATGAGTTTAATTGGCTCCATGATCAAGATACATATTTTCCTTTGAACTTAGATAAAAGGGAAGTAATGGTCCTTTATTGACCTTAACCCTACACTGGGTAGATTGGTAGGTATCTGACAGGTTCTTATTTGATATCTACAAAAAGAAGCTTTGAATATTAGTCGCCAAAGCCAGATTCAGTAGCTGCGTTTGTGATAATGTTCAACCCAGATGTGAACCTGGTTGCCGCCTATATGCCTGAGTTTAGGTCCAGAAGGCATGGCTCTTGGGAGAAATCAAGAGTGCACCAAACCATTTTCTTTCTCACATTGGCTTCTTTCTCTCTTTACCACGTGTGAGGAGACTGACACCTTCCCAACACTCTGGTCCTGTCTTTGGGCAAAATCGTATCTTGAACATCTACTCTGACAACGTAACTGAGTTCTCTACATTTGCAAGACACCTTGCCCACACATGGGTTATGTGATATTAATTCTGTTGCCTTCTAATGTGCACACAAGCATGACCAGGAAAGAACTTCATAACACATCACAGTCAAAATTATAGAAGTCAGCGTAATGATAGACTACTTGAATCTGTTAGGAAAAGAAAGCAAGCATCAATCTAGAAAAAGACAAGTATATCAAAAGAATAGCAAATTTCTCACCATAAACCTTAAATGCCAGCACAGTTTGGACAGTACATTTTTCAGGAGCTAAAACAAACTAACTGCCCCAGCCGAATAGCTCAGACGACTAAAGCACTTGCTTAGGCAAAGCATAGCAGCTGGGGGTCAATCCCGGCATGCCATGTTGGCCCTGGGTGTACTGAGATCACAAGTGAGAATGGGTGTGGTAGCACACACCTGTAATCCCAATGCTGGGGAGGCTGGACACAGGTGGATCACTACAAGTCTGATCTGTACAGTGAGAACCTGTAGACCCTATACTGAATACGTAAAAAAAGAAACCACTGCCAATTGAGATTACTATGCTGCAAAATTATCATGACTATAATTGACAGACAAATAAAGACTTTGTACAAAAAAAACCACTTAAATATAGTCATAACCACCAAGCTAGCATTGTGAAAATACTTTATAAGTTAAAGTATGGGAATAAACACTCCATGTGACAGAAATCCAGAAAAAAAGCAGGAGTAACTATTCTGTTTGCTGACAAGGTCAACTTCAAATCAAAAATGACTAAAAGAATTTAATTTTTTAAAAAAGTTACTACATATTTGTTAGGGGAAATCTCCAAAAGGAAGATATAAGAATCATAAATATATATGCACCCAATGTAGAAGCACCCAACTACGTAAGACAAATCTTAATAGACACTAAAAATCAAATGAGCAATAACACAATTGTAATGGGGGATTTTAACACCCCATTGACACAAAGAGATAGATCAATTAGGCAAAAAATCAGCAAAGAAATAACATAACTAAACCAAACTTGTGAAGAAAAGGTTACCTTTATAGAGTGTTATGCCCAATAGTGTCAAAATACACATTCCTCTCAGCTGCAAATGGGTTGTTCTCCAACATAGACCATATAGTAGCACAGAGAGCATGCTTAAGTAAATGCAAAGGAACCAAAATTATTCCATGCATATTGTCTGACCACAGTCCACTGAAACTGGAAATCACTGGCAACAGAAATATCAAGAACTCCATAAACACATGGAAATTAAATAACACCCTCCTGAGCAATCAGGGTCACAGATGAAATTAAAGAACAAATTAAACAATATTTACAATCAAGTGAAAATGTAGATGCAATTTACTGAAACTTGTGGGATGCAATGAAAGCTGTCTTAAGAGGGAAATTTATAACCATAAATTCTCACATCAGGAAAATGGAAGGAGCCCAAAGAAACAATCTTAAGCTGTATCTCAAGCTCCTGGAAAAACAAAAGCAAGTCGAGCCCAAAGAAGACAGCAAATTATAAATATCAGGACAGAAAATAATGCAATGGAAATGGATGTAGCTAGAACTACATTGGTAAGTGAAATAAATCAGATCCACATGTGCAAACATTTTACTGTCTTGCTAATGTGAGAACCTGCAAGAGTAATGAAAATCTAAAGAGTACAACAGATATTGTGAAAGGGAAAGAAAATATACAATGGAAAGGAAAAACTGGGATGAGGAAAAGGACAAATGAAAGAAGGGGAAAAGATATATTTAGGTGTATATGCAGAATATTTTGGATAGTTATATTGTCGATTTCTGCCAGTCTTTTGAAAGGAGCAGTAAATGCTTTAAAAGAAATATTTTTACTCTATTTTTCTTCCTCTTTTGAACTTCTTATAACTTCTTTGTTATTATTTTGTTTTACTTGGTTTTCTTCAAAGAAATCTTACATGCTTATATCTGGCAAGCTGAAAACTAATATGAAGATAGCATCATGTAACATAGCAACCACTATTGAATTCCTATTACTTTATTAGTGAAATCTTGTATTGTTTGTAATGCTGGTTTTTTTCTAACACTATTTTGTATTCGCTTTTTGTTTATTTATTTTATTTATTTATTTCCATAATTTTATTGATAAACAAATAGCAATGAGACAGTTTCAAATCAAATTGGTAGGACAGTTTCAATAATTAACACATTGCATACATTCCTTCTAGTGGTTAATTGCTGTACAAGATGTGGACATGATATCCTATCTACAAACACCATTAGAACAAATCACTCTATTCATTAAGAGAATGTAACTATATATCTATCCTAACCACTTTGAATACACAGATACAAAATGGACATTGATCTGTATACCCTTTTTTTGCTAAGTTTTGTTATTTAAATATTATAAGTGTGTTAACTCAGCAAAATAATCTAAAAGAGTTCAGTAGTCCATAATAGTATTGGGTCTTCGCTTCACTGGCAATGTCAGAAATTGTTGACCTGAGTCCCCTATAGCTCAACATAATAGCATGGCTTTACTTCTTATACTTCATTTTTATACTTTTCTGCTGGGTGGTTAAGACCAAGGTAAAGCAGGACCTATGCAACAAGAGTTGTAGCTTTTGGGTCTGATAAGGTCAGTGAAATCCCCTCAGGATTTATCCTGAGATCCTGTACCTCAGATTGTCAGTGTCAGCCATGAGGATGAGTCGCTATTTTGTATTCTTTAAAAATGAAAAAAAAATGTAATAGAGACAAAGGAAACAATACAAAGAGTTAATGAATTCAAGAGTCAGTTATTTGAAAGAATAAATAAAATTAATAAGCCAACCTTATCAAAAAGAAAGAAATGAAAAAATTCAAATTCATGCAAGAAGGAATGAAATGGGCAAAATCACTACACACCCTGTAGAAATTCAGAAGATCATCAATACCTACTTGGAAAAACTTTACTTTCAAAAGATAGAAAACACAGAAGAAATGGAGATTCCTAGATACATACGAATTAGCAAGTTGAATCAAAAAAATGTAACAATTCTGAATAACACAGTATCGGTGAACAAAATTGAAGATGTGATCAAAAACCTATCAACAAAAAAAGACCAGGTCCTGATGCATGAACAGCTGAATTCTACAAGAAATTTTGGGAAAGCTTAATGCCAATTCTTCTCAAACTCTTCAGTGAAATCAAAAGAGAAGCAATCCTCCAAAACTCATTCCTGCAGGCAAGTATTACCCTGATACCAAAACCACAGAAAGACCCCACCAAAAAAGAGAATTACAGGCCAATCTCCCTAATGAACAGAGATGAAAAAAAAAATTTTTCATTAAATTCTTGGCAACCGGATGCAGCAAATTATCAAGAAGATTATACATCACAACCAACTGGGATTCATCCCAGAAATGGGGGATCATTAAATATAAACAAATCCAAAGACTAAAATCACTCAATCATTTCAATAGACACAGAAAAGCTTTTGAGTAAGTCCAACACATATTCATGATTAGAACCTTGCAGAAAGTTGGAATAGATGTTCTTTACCTCAACCTGGCAAAGTCCACTTATGACAAACCAGCAATCAACATCATATTAAATGGGCAAAAACTAAAAATATTCACTGTAAAATCAGTTACAAGTCAAAGCTATCCCCTGTCACCATTCCTGTTCAATTTGGTCTTGCAAACATTAGCTAGGGCAATTAGACGAGAGAGAAATAAAAGAAATAATGATTGGAAAGGAAGCAGTTAAATTATCATTATTTGCAGATGACATGATATTGTACATAGAAGACCCCAAAAACTCCACCAAAATCCACACCTGACTTGTAGATTTAATAACCAAATTCAGGAGCATTGCAGGATATGAAGTTCACACTCATAAATTAATAGCATTTCTGTACAAATCAAAGAAGTCCCTGAGAGAGACATTAAGGAAACACACCTTTCATAATAACATCTAAAAAATGAAATACTTAAAAATCAATCTCACAAAGGAAGCAAAAGATTTATACAATGAAAATTACAGTACTCTGAGAAAAGAGATTGAAAAGTAATTCATAAAATGGAAAGATATTCCTTGCTTCTAGATAGGAATAACCGACATTGTGAAAATGGCCATAATTCCAAAATTTTGTACAGATTCAATGCAATCCTGATGAAAATATCATTCGTATGCCTCACATTATGTAGAAAAAATATTCCTAAAATTCATCTGGTAGCAGACGAGACCTAGAATAGCTAATCCTGAACAACAAAGGAAAGGGAGGAAGCACCACAATCCATGACTTGAAATTTTACTACAAAGCTATTGTGATGAAATCAGCATGATATTGTCAAAAACAGACCTTTTGATCAATGGAACAGATCACAAGATGCAGACCCAATTACAAACACACTCAGCCACCTGATCTTTAACAAAGGGACCAAACCTGTTCAATAGAAGAAAGAAAGATAGCCCATTTCATAAATGGTGCTAGAAAAACTGGCTTTCC